GTTCAAACTGCTTTGCAGTCTGGCAAAGTACCCACAGCACCACACCAGGACTCCACACCACCAAATACCACCATCTAAATACAATGCTAAAATAGATCTCTGTCTTTATGCACTTCATTAAAGTTTAAACAGAAAGGCACCCAAAATGATCTTTTTTTTTTTTTTTCAAGTGCAACACAACTGAAGGACATTTAAATGCAAAGATCCAGTTTCAGAAAATTGAGCACAGAGTCAAGCACAATACTGTGAAACTCCATTGATTTCACATGTTCAGGAAATGGCAGGAAAGTATGTTTTCACACATACTTTGGTGAAAAAAGATAAACTGGCTAAATGTAAAAAAATTTGTTTTACATGAATTTGGTAGGAGACTCTTTGCTGCCATTTCAGCTTCTGAAAACAAGAAATAGAACCATGCTTAGGATATGCTGGCAGCTGAGGGGGAAATGCTGCGTGTCCATAGCTTCCCTCCCAAATCCCAAAGGAGGAAAGCTGTTGCCTGCAGGTATCGGATAGCTGGGCAGCCTTACTGAAAACAACCAAGGTTTTGAGCATTGTTTTTGGCAAGAAGTAAGGTGTTACAGACTGCTACCTGAGGCGCTGGAAGGAATGTGTCACCATCAATCAGAAAGTATACTGAGCCCTGTGTTTAAATCACAGAGGGAGCAGTGCCTTGCTCAACACGGATAGGATATATAATGCCAACTCCAAGAAAGAAGGAGAAAGAATTGTAGTGAAGGTGTTGGTGCACAGAGACTGAAATATCAAAGAGAAATTCCAACTCTTGCTGAAGGAAAAACCGGGCGTGCTCACTTTACTTAGAGTTTCAAGAACAGACAAGGGCGGGTGCTCCCGAACTTCCCCTGGGACTGGCATGGCCCGAGCACAGTCCGGGAGGATCTCGAGGATCTAAGGGAGGTTCGGGCTCCCTGACTACTCACCTGGCAAACTCTGGGCATGAGAGTGGTGGATGAATGAACTGCCCACCCTACGGAATCCTTGAGATGGGGCGGACGCCAGGAATACTGACCTGAGGGGATGCTAGAGGGTTTCTCCTGGTGGGCACCCAGACACGCATTCCATGGGGGGAAGACGAGCGTCAGCCAGAGCAGCGGGAACCTCCCCGCGCACCGCCCCATCTTCTGCCCCGAAGTCCGCGCTGGCTCAGGAACCCCACACCCTTGCAGTGGCGCATTTCTCGCGAGAGCGCGGGGACCCCCTTGTCCTCTGCTGGGCAGACAATTGCGGGCTGGGCTGGGGTGAAGCCGTCGGCGTAAAAGCGGAGGAGCGGACGCCCGGGAGCCGCGGGCGATTTATAGGCACTCAGCAGGGGAGGCGACGGGGCGGGCCGCGCCGGGCTATTGGCCGCCCGCTGACCCGCCGCACCACTGCGAACGCCTTGCGGTCGCTTCCGCTCGCCTTTTCCAGCTTCAGCCCCACGTCTAGGGTTTGCTCAGCTCGAACCCTATTTAAGGAGCTGTCTGCGGCTACGTGGAGAGGCTCACGCAGGGCTTCAACTGTAACAGTGAAGCGTTCTGAGGTTTCAGAGTTGGATTGGGAGACGAGGAGGAGGAGCTGGCGGCGGGCGGTGCTCTACCTTCCTCTCTCCTGCCCCAGTACCAGAAGCTCCTCTGCGGCCTCACTGGGTGAGAATTTGCTTTTCTTTAGACATAGGTACCCCACCTCCAATCAGAGGTGACAGAACTCTACCACAGTCTTGGCTGCCTGGGACCTCGGAAAACTCGAAATCATGGAAATGGATCGCTCCCCATTAGTCCAGGGGCAAGTTTCATCACCCTGTAAAAGGAAGGCTGTATATTTTAGTAATATTAATGTACTCTGTAAACCGAAAGATTTTGTTCAGCGAACATTTCTACCTTCTTCGCCTGTGCCAGGAGAGCCACAGAGTCTCCAGTAATAAGGCCTGTAAAACCTGCGGAGTTGGAGTCCAGTGTGTGTGACCTGGGGCTGTGCCTTACAAGCTTTCTCTACAATTCACATGGAAATTTCCTCCTGGAGTGTCAGAGTGATCTCTTGGCTCCTTGGCGGTTCCTCCCCTGTTTCCAGTGTTGACTCATGTCTAAGCAAATTCCACTTATCCCTCCCTGTTCTCGTCACATTTTAGCCGGTGTGGCGTCATAGGATAAGCACTCGACCTCAGGTTGGATTGAACTGTAAAGTCGGCAATTGAAACTCGCCAGCCACTCCTCTGAAATCCGATACTGGATCGCTATGGGTCAGAAGCCACTCCACAGCACTTAACAATAACATTCTTTGTCACATTTTGGCTAGCCTAGAGTTTAATCTGTTGGGATGGGCAGGGCTGAAGTGTGACAATTTTCATGATGTGAGCTATTTTATGGAGTTCTTGCTAACAGCAAGGTTTGTGGTTCAAACTCACCGGTTGCTCCTTGGAAACCCTATACAGGGTTCCTATGAGTCAGAAGTGACTCGATGACATTTAACAACAAAATAAGCTATTTTATAGGAGAAAGAGAATCAGTCTGGAAGCATTCAAGAATCGTCTACCTCTGCTTATCTTCCTACAATGGTTTAAGAAAAAAAAATTCCACCAACCCCCCCTCCCCAGTCCAAGTTTAAACCTTTGAAATTAAAACAGAAAAAAATATTGAAAATGATACATTCTATTATGAACACATTTTGTTTAAATTTAGCTCGATTTCAAGATAAAATGAACTCTAAATGGAAGTATTAAAAACAGGTGGGTAAACCTGCAAAGAAATGTTGCCTGGAGTGTGACATTAAAAAAAAATAATAATAAAAGAATTATTTCCTTGGCCAGAACTAAGCCAATCATTACTGTTTTGAAGGCTAGGGCTCCTTTTTTTAAAAAGAAAAATAAGAAGAAGAAGGAAAATTGGCGAAGGTTCAGAGAAGAGGAACAAATAATTAAAGAAATGGAAAGTATGACCTGGGAGGAGAATGAAATAGGTTTATTTGGTCTGAAGAAAAAGAACTAAGGAGTGGATTCCTTAGCAACATCCGTCAGTGTGTGGTCAGCAAAGATCCATAAACCCAGACAGAAAGTAAACAGCATCAGTCCTCATAATCTGAAGCCTGCTAGTCTGAGGACTGCTAATCATCCAAAGCTGAGTCTCCAGAATTTCAAACCCATATATTGTTCTTCAGTTATGCCAAACTCTTTAAACTTGACTCCTGCTTCTTTGTATCCCCAGTATATTCAATAGCTAAGAGTTTTCATGACTAGAATTTGGCTTTCTGCTACACTCTTTTCTGGTCCCATGTACCCTTATAGCCTCTCCACAGCACAAGTGTGTATGTTTAGACCCAAAGTCCATCAAGTTAATATAGTGTTCCTTCTTCTGTATTGAGTCTCAAAGTCAGGAATGGAAGGCTCGTAGAAAATAAGTGCTTCTTTGGGCTTTTCAAAATCACCAGGCTCTTTTAGAAAAAGTCTGAAAGACCCCATTCTTAAACTAACTCCTTTCTGCCTTCTTATATTCCCAGCTGTCTGCTGAAATTCCTGCTTGGACTTTCTACTGCCAAAACTTCACATTGTCTTTAACTCATTAAATCCAAAGCCTCTTTATTAATAATTATTACTACTGTTTGCTAGCTCTTATAACCTCAGACATTTTTCACTTCTTTCCCTTCCCACCACTGATCTCAGAGATAGACACATTTTTGTACCACATAAAAGATTCTACATCATGGCATGGTTGGCATTCTCTCTCCTTGAGCCCCACAACACTTTCCATTCTCTGTAACACCTTCAGCAAATCTCTAGTGTATGAGCCATTCCCCTTTACTATATGACCTTTTGTTTATTACTCTGTGTATTGAGGGCAGGATCCAAATCTTTTTCATCAGAATAATCTAAGTGACTGTTACAGGATGTATCCATGTATTCAATAGAATGAAGAATGCATTCCTGTGTTCAATCATCCACATGTTCTTTCAAAAACTTTTATTGAGTGTCTACTTTATCTCAGGCACAGCTCTTTTTATTCTTAAGTGCTGTCTAGTAGGTTCTGACTCAAAGTAATTGCTATATACAACAGAACAAAACTGGCTGGTCTTGTGCCATTATCACAACGTTGCTATGTTTGAGTGCTTTGTTGAAGCCACTGTGTCAGTCTATCTCTTGGAGTCTTCCTCTTTTTTCACTGACCTCCTGACAAGGACTGATAACTGATCTCTCCTGAAAACAGGATCAACGTACATCCACGCTTCTAAGAAGCATTCTGACTATACTTCTCCCAAAGGAAGTTTGTTTGTTCTGGCAATCCATAGTATATTTAATATTCTTCACCAACATCATAATTCAAAGGCATCAAAGTGACCTCCCCTCACACACACAATATGTTTCAGCATAAACCTTGGTAAGAACTGTAGCCTTGACTCTGAATGAATTGGAAAAGACATTTGGATGTTTGTAGGTAGTGCTGTGACATAACACAGTATAGAATCTTAACAAGATCATAGAATTCAATTCCTTCATTAATTTAATATTAAGGAAAAGGTTGTAGTTGTTAAGTGCCGTTGAGTCTGTTGCTACCTATATAGCGACCCTGTATAGGGTTTCTGAGGCGTAGCTGGTGGGTTTGAATTGCAGACTTCGCTGTTCAAACTGACCTTGGGGTCCACACATTGTCCTGCAGCTCCAGGGACTAGGACCCATAAGATACAAAGCCTTGAGAACAATGTGGAAGCAAATCTAGTGATCCAGCAGAGAGGTAATGGCTTCAACCAGGTTGGTAATGGTAAATGCAAGCAAGTTTCTAGTTAGATTTGAATGTTGTTGTTAAAAAGTTGGTTCCAACTTATAGTGACCATGTAGAGGGGTTCTAAGGGGTGACTGGTGGGTTTGAACCACCAACCTTGTAAGCAGTCCAGTGCTTATCCAACAGTGCCACACCAGGATTCCAGATTGTAGAGGGGAAAAAAAAAAAAAAAAAAAAACCTTAACAATTTATGTGAATATCAGATAAAAATATCAGGGAATATGTGTTCAATTAATATTTGTTAAATGAGTGAGAATTGAATGCTTGCAAATACATGCAACAGCTTTGGCTGTGGAATGGGAAGTAAATATTAAACAAAATAGATGAGGGAAAAAAAAACAAAAAACAGCCAGTCAAGTGTTGAAACCTGGTTAAGGTAAAATCTATGGGAAGATAGGGGGATAGCAGAATCAAAACTTTAGATTACAGCAAAACCTACAGTGAACATAAAATATAAACCAAAGATGAGGCTGAAGAAAGCACTGCAAAAGGGCGTTTCATGTGCTGGGACTCCTCCAGTCCCTCCTGCGTGAACACGTGGCCACAAAGCTGCCCTTTGTAAATGAGAGGATTGTAACATACTCGATAAATCCAGTCATTTTCTGGGCTACCACTTGAGAAGGATGATTTACAGGACATAATTTCAAACAAAACTACAATGGGAAAATAAAGAAGTGAACTGCTAAACAAATGGTAAGCAAAATAAGTTTCTTCACACACAAAAACAGTGATTTTCACAGGGGAAATGTATAAGGATTATCTCCCTACTGTTTTAACTCCTCTGATTCTTCTCTGTTATCTGGAAGGCATAATAAGAACTCTTCATTGATAAATTCTGGTTCTAATCAAGCATTCCTAGCAAAGTATCCATGGTCTTTTAAACTTTGAATTTTGGTCATTCACCAGCTGCTCCTCAGAAACCCTATACAGGGTGGTTATGAGTCGGAACCTACTCAAAGGCACTTAACAACAACAATAAACATTTTTAAAAGACCAGCATGTCTATATAGAATATTCCCTAGCAAGATATGAACTTTGAAATTCTTCTACCTAACAAAGTGATGTCATATGTAAAACTAAATTCATCCAAGTTCAAAGTAAGATGAGCAGGCCAAGATAGCAAAGAGCCAAACAGCACACAAATATTCTGAAGATGATCCTAGCAGATGTTCAGTAATTCCTTGAAACGACTGAACAGAGTTGTCTAGGCAATGAGTCACCCTAGAGAGCCAGCAGCAGACATTTGTGGCTTGTGCATTCAGTTTTCCAAACTTATTTTGCCAGTGTTCCATGCCATGACATATTTGTTGGCAAACTGACTCCAGAATGACATGTATTATAGTTAGCAACAGTATAGTGTCAAAAATGTCTTG